AGCGTGGCAGCACCAGAACCCCTTCAACCAATAATGATGCAGTCCGTCCGGTCCCGGACTTTTCCAGTTCGGAGCTTTACGGACCGCTACCGCTATATCCTCTTCGGATATGCTGATGGTATTCATAGGCGCTATGATTGCACACGCTCTCTCGACCGCTTCGAACCATGGACCCTCTTCGTGATCGAAGGGCTGCGACCAAAGCCTTCGCCAAAAGGCGACCACTTCTGCTTTGTCCAGACGCTCACCCGTCAAGACCACATCAGAACGCTCCAGTGTCCTATAAAACTTCTTTTGGTCACTCATGAAGAGACGATTCTACCGATACCTCTTTACCCTTTCGGAATATCGCCGTATCCGCTTGCCCCAAGCAGCTATCTTCTGCTTCAGATCATCGATGCGCCCTGTCAGTTTTTGTGCCAACTCCAGTGAGTCTACAAAAATGTCTAAGAAAGGCCTACGCTTTCCTCTAAAAATGAGGGAAGCATGTTGTTAATGGCCCCAACGGCATCCCGAACCTTGACACTGAGAGGCACTCGAGGCAGCCGTCACTTGGCGATATTCCAGAATCGTCTCATCCAGACTACTCCTTAACGTTTCCAAATCCAGGGCGACTGTTCCCCAATCACTTTCAATACCACCCGTATCCGGCTGATGAGCACTAGGTTCCCTGTGAACTTCCCAGCTGGGAACAGGAGAGCGCTCCAGGCTGGGTGGCTCTTCTTCCAGTGGAGGAACAGCCTCGCATCGTAATTGCTCGAGTTCGGCAGCGCTAAAAAGTCCTGAGCGCTGTAGGTACCAAACTCGGTCCGCCAGGTTTTGTCCTGTGACGGTCAAACCCACATGGCATTTTTATTCAAATCAATCGTCCATGCCATGCGGCGCCGTACTCCACCAGAGGCGGGTACCGATTGCTGGAACAGAGTTGCCCCAGCCCCTGCCGATACCATGCCAACTGGTGGTGATGGATCGTGAGTAGACTGGCCGGATGGTCGGGCCAATCTGCCGCGGCTGGAGGCCCGTATACTGCCACGCCCAGCCCCAGCTCCAGGCGCGCCCCGGCGATTACCCCCGGGAAGCGGCCCTGTTCGCTCGTCGTAACTATTGTGCTCCATCATTTACGATGAGCAATTTTAAACCTGGGGCTTTCACTCACTTACTCCGAGGAGACCGTTATTTACCCTATTTAACGCTGAGACCAGTTCATTGACACGGTTCTGTACATCCATGAACTCAAGCGCTGACTGTTTGCACTGCTGAAACGATAAAGTGGCATGATATTCACTGCGCCGTTCCACCAGTGGGCGATGAGGTCGTCACATCCTGACGCCGGTTTATTATTATTATTATTAATATTATTATGAACCTATACTGAATTAAATTTTAAGGTACTTAGAAATGACTGGTTTATTGGATTGCTATTGCATATCGATTGGATTCGAACTATGCTGCTGTTGCTGAACGATGCTGGAAATCTGATACTGCTGCCGCATTACCCATGATTGATTAACATTCGTTTTAAACTTTAATCGCACCTGCAAACGGGCGCAATATGTAAATCGAATTGCATTTGGCGATACAATAAATTACGCGTTTAAACCGCTGCACACTTCTATCCGCAAAACCGGTTTTGGGCGGATACTTCCAGATTATTGTCATAAATTGCCTATTCCAGAATATATCGAAATAACCCGGCATGGACGGTGCGATTAACGTTATTAATCCGGTGTAATAAAATTGATCATTTGTGCTTCATTAATTTTTGAAAAGTTTATGGATCGCGACTTAGTTCTTTCGGTTATTCTGCTTTGTGATCAAATCGTGTCAAAATTTAGTGTAAGGAAAAAACATTACCGACATAAAAACGGGCACATACAAATTATTGATTTTAATGTAATAACGCACACACATAGCCCCGCACTAGGGAAACACTGTACCTCGTGCCACATAGACAACCACTAATGACACCAAAACTCATGAGAGAAATAAATGTAGAACATATAAATATTTCTCGCCGCCCGGAAATCGTACCCGGGAGCTCTGTGTGCCAGATCGGCATGGCAATCGTTCGGTCACATAGTAGATGTTCGTGCAGCGCGCGTTTTTCAAAAGCACGCTTATACTACGTGAATTTTAATCAAGTAACGAAGAATGTTTAGCAAAACGCTTGACGCTTGTCATCTGAACCGACCCTTAAAACAAGCGATATACGTGAGACATGAAAGTGGGTGCCATTAAAGACAGTGCATTATAGTATAGCCTAGTATTCATAAGAGTTGTATGGTAAGTAATACATTAAAAAGATTCATAGAAAAAAACAATAACTCGACATTTCCGGAATATTTTCTCATAGGTCATATTATAGTTTTTGAGAAAGTCAAAGAAACCGACATCTATTCTTTCGAGAATACCAGATCAATGTGGTGATTACCTAAATATTTAAAAGAAACAATCACACCAAGATTGGTGTAATATATGTTCTATTTCCCAACAATGAAGATAGGCTATATACGTTATAATAGAATAATTAAACATGCAAGCAATAACAGCGGTGGATTCAGCCGATATTGTATAAAACCCATTCATTTGCAACTTACAGTAAAACAAGCAAAATGACGATATAAAAGCCATCGCAAACTCAGCACTATTACCTTCGCATATTTTATTACAGGTCATTTTTTGATGCGAAGCAATTTCGCATCGCTGAATCACGAACACTGAACAATAATTGATTGGTATTCCCTTTGTCACAACTCAATTTTTCATCTCATATTACTCAGTTGCCTGAAACAACGGTTTCTATCTCCAATTTACGATTCAACAGATAGACTTCGTCAAAATTACGATACTAGAGAGAACACGAAGGAACATACTCAACAATCGGTTGTGTATGAGTCTTCTGTGATGACAAAATTGTAGGTACTTATTTCATCATACAAATATTTCTCTCGGGCCGGGATTTGAAGCCGGAACCTCTGCGTGGCAGTCCAGCATGGTGACCGTCTGGCCACGGAGGCAGTTAAATAGTGAATAATGTTTCAAAAAACTTTTTAAGCCACTTTCATTTTTAATTACATTACATAAATACAAATTTCTATACACTTTTCTGTTGAATGCGTAAGAAGTCTCCCAGAAACAAAAGTTCAGTTAGAGGGTCAGATAACTTAGGGAATCGACTGTACATTCCAAATTTCTTTATTTATGTAGGTAACAGCACTAGAAATCATCGAAATGATTTAACACTTTTAATTATTCGAGAACTAGATTCAGCTGAATGCTCCATACGATCACGTTCATAAATAGAATGCATTGTCGGCGTTACATCGTAAACACCCTCCATAAAATATCGAGTTCTTAGGTTTTCGCGATTGGTTCACATTGGAAATGAAACAATTTTTTCGGATATAAATCGCCCTCTATAAAGTGTTTCATATCCGTATTCGAGTAGGCAAATTTCAAATAAAAAATGAGCGAGCGAGGTTCTGTCTCATATTTCCTTTAAACACCGAAAACGTACAAATTACTTAAAAGCTTAACCTACTTAGAATAAGCGAGTTCAGAGCGCGAAATCGTTTTCAATTTAGCAATTTAATGCTCTATACAGCGGCGTCTAGGCTTTTTATAATTTAATCCACGATGGTTGGCGCGAATGGCGACAGAAAAAAATGGCGGCTTTTTTATTTAAATGGGTGCGTCGGCACGTCCTGACTGACGCCCGTTTCAATCCCGCTCACATATAAAACGTGACCATTCACATCCTCGTCCGTCGAGGAATAAACATATCCGTCACGTGGGTTTTTTCATGCCCCCCGCGCCGCGCCTGACGTGTTTTCAAAGCAAATATTTTGAATTCCGACAATTGGCGTAGTTAGCGAGATCGTATCAACCGCTGTAATTGTGCATCGAGTGTGCGCAGTCATTAAGTCCTCTCTGCCGGCTCGTGGCCCGCGCAATTTAGATGGCATTTTTATTTGCGGCCGGGGAGCAGTGCGGCTATAATTTGTTCAAATCCACGTGTCCGCCGAGGGAGCGGTGCTTTCGATATGAATTGTTTCACGCTTCCCAGGTTTATACAGGACCCGTTCTACCTTTTTTTAGATATCTCTAATCTCGGCTCGACCTCTGCGGTGTCCGTTCCATGAATATTTTAACTCGCGTGTGACAGTCTCGGCCGAAAATACGTTACTCGCATTCGTTTATTAATGTCGGATCGATCGGTGAGCCCGAGGGAAAGTCCGATACGTATAAAGAACTAAATGGGATTTCATTTTCTAGTTCAGAAGTCAAACGCTCCCCGCGGCATGCGTCCAATATTCTTTCCGGTTGGTCCCTATTTTTGTTACGGTTCGTTTGGTGTCTGGATTTTGGACATGAAGTCGCGTTCGGTGTGCTCGTTCCTTCCGCGTGCTTCACAGACATAATTGTTTCGTGCCTGAGTGCGCTTTTTTCCGCAAGATAACGCCTTTAATCTCACTCGCGTAATGAAAATGTGCCGTACTTCGTCCTGAGTATGCCGCGCGTTCCCTGTATATTTTATTGGCATATTTTATGGTCTTGACTCAATTCTCAAGTTTCCGTAACTTCGTCGACTTTTCGGGAAATTAAATCAACTTGTGAATCGTACCGTTACATAATATAGTCGATTCGGTGTGTGGGATAAATTAGCCGAATTGTGCCTCAATATGTTCTTAATTTATTCATAGTCGAAAATTGGATAGGAATAGACGTAGAGCGGTAACAGTTCAGCTCGTAAAAGTCCATCTATGGGGGTGCGTATACATAATTCATAACTGTAACTTTGTCCGTCTGTTCGGGTTTAGTTAGTATGGGGTAAGGGATACCACGCATTTGCATATGCATATCATGAGAGGAGAAACTTTTCATTGAATTAATTCTTTTTGTTTAACGTGTCATAAATCTTTGTTAATTGCTTATTTCACACATCACGTGTCCAAATTCATACACGTTATCTAACAAAATGCCTTTTTCTGTGTGTGCAGATCCCCCCGAGATCACGATCCGGCCGCGCAATCTCCAAGTTCGTGCAAATGGCATAGCCGCCTTCTACTGCGCAGCCAGAGGTGACCCCGTGCCCAACATTCAGTGGCGAAAGAACGGCAAACGAGTTTCAAGTAAGTTCATTCTACAAACCTATATGCATTGTTTACAGTTGTCGTCGAATTTCAGCCGCTGCAGACGTAACTGATGGAAGAATTTTAAATACCAACCAATGTACTTAGATACCCGACCCCATAGCCCACCTTTGGGTTAAGAAAGCCTTCTATCACATAAAGGTAGTGTAAACGAATTGCAGATTTTTGGTTATGTAATGTAATTAAAGACAAAATTGGCTTAAAAAGTTTCTTAAAATGTCATTCACTAACTAAGCACTAAGGAAAACATATCAAAATTAATTTTACTGTTCACGGGTTAAGTTTGTCTAACACCATTCTTCACACTGATCCCCTCAGAACTAAATGATCGGTTGAGGGGTCAGGTATTTTAGGGTATCAACTGTACATAAACCAGATTCCACAAATCGCACCAACCTACTTACTTTTCGTGATGATTATTGATGCCCTGGTAGTTTCATCGTATGATCTTGATGAAACTACAAGGGTAGTAAATAATCCACATTTTTTTATATTATATTTATATGAATAACGCTCACATAATCTAGAACTTTAAACACAATAATAATGTGGTAATTAAAACTACATACTAACAAGCAAGTAAACACAAACTCAGTTCGTAAGCTATAAAATGTTACTCTTTCTAATGGCAGAGTGCATTTAGACAGGAATACCGCAAAAGTAGTGTTGCATGTCAATGACAGCTTTCGTACCGTAAGTTTGAAGTGCATAGTGGCACGACACTAGTTATATTATGGCCATTTTGCGAGTGCATTAATGAAATATCCAAACTTTGCGACGCAAATGAGAATGTCATATCTCGATATGGTTATAAAGTATACAAACCATGAAACAATGGATAGTATTTTTTGTTATTAATTTATTTTATTGGTGTAAATTTAACCTATGGTAGGTTTCTTGGTCTATGCAGAACACACATGATTGATGACCACCGCCTTAATTCTAGCTCAAAGCAGCGCTGGAGGGTTCCTAATTCAGCGAGATCTGGTGCTAAAGCAGGCACAGGAAACGAGATTAATTCGTTGAAAAGCGTCGTTGACCTTGAGCGAATGATGTTTTAAGCCACGCCTACTATATTACAATTATGAATTGAATTAGCTGGCTAGGTGCAATGCGGACGATATAGGTCTATCCAGTAACTGACACTGCGACTGTTATGGATAGGCGTGTCATTTACCCCCAGGCGAACAACTTGTACGTCTCGTCACTTGGTATTATAAAAAAAACGTTGACTTGGAGTTTAAAAAGTGACATCAAATAGTAGATTTATTTAGTGATTTTGTTTATGTTGCTTGAACTAGAGTATCTCAAGTTCAGAATTAATATTACATAATCGAGATGCCAATCCGCGTTGCTAGTATATTAATTTAAATATGTAAGTAGTGCATTTGACGACAGTTACTTAAATATAGTACGAGGATACTGTGATGAACACCTTATTTTTTTTATTGAATTATGTTTACAACCTGTAAGTACAACTAAAATAACATTATGACAACCCTACGATCCGAGCGAAGTGTAGGCATTGACGTACCGAACAGCGGGAATTGCGCTACTTGTCTTATATGGTAATTTTTCAGGGATACTATCGAAAATAATGGGTTGTTTGAAAAGTTTGTTTCCTAAATTGTTATAGTCATAAATGGTCATAACCACAGACCAATAAATACAGTAGAAGTGCTTAGTTTATGTGACACGTGTGCCAACTGTGCGCGGAGTTCCACAAACTTGAGCTCAGTCCGCGATTTTCGTTTTGTACGTTATGGTCGTGTTAATTATCTCGAGCAGAACTTCAAAAATCGTAGAAGTATGTTTTATTTCGCTAGTTTCGAGTGCAAAAATGTTAGCCGCACTTGTAATAATAGGGGTTAAAGTATGAAATTGCCGATTTGTACTGAAAATCTAAATTGTTTATTTTTTAAATTTTTAACAAATTTATTTAATCAAAATAGTTGCCATTATTATCTATACATTGCTGCCATCTAATGGGAAGGTTATTAATGCCTTTGCGATAGAACTCCGACGATCTAGACTGCACAAACTGTGTGAAAGCATTTTGTACTGCCTCCTGGGAAGAAAACTTCTTGTCACGTAGATAATTGTCCAAATCACGAAAAAAATGGTAGTCCGTTGGAGCAAGGTCTGGTGAATACGGAGGATGACGAATGGTTTCTAACTGCAGTTCCTGAAGGGTCAAAATGGTTTCTCGTGCTGTGTGAGGTCTCGCGTTGTCGTGGAGCAATAATGGTGAAGATCGATTCATGAGTCGGGGCTATTTTACTGCTAGTTTTGTCAACATGGTTCGGAGTTCGGCACAATAGACATCTGCCGTTATTGCTTGACCAGATCGGAGAAAACTATAGTGAATAACACCATGCTGAGACCACCAAACAGTTACCATTACCTTTTTATTGGTAAGTTTTGCTTTAGGACACTGTTGTGGCATTTGACCTGGGGTCAGCCATTGCATTTTTCTTTTCCGGTTATCATAAAGAATCCACTTTTCGTCACATGTTACAATTCGATCCAATATTCCTTCATTTCTGTACCGGTTCAACAAGGCAACACAAGTTTCAACACGCGTTTCTTTCTGCAGATCAGTCAAATCATGAGGCACCCATTTTTCGTATTTTTTTATTTTATTGATTTGACGCAAGTGAGTCAATATTGTGGGTAAGGTAACGTTAAACCATGCCGCTAATTCCTGGGTAGTTTGACTAGGATCGGCTTCCACTATCTCTCTTAATTCATCGTTATTCACCTGTGTGGGCGGTCTTCCTCGTGGCTCGTTCTTTAAGTCGAAATTTCCATCACGAAAGCGTTTAAACCAAAATCGCACGGTGCGTTCATTAGTAGACCCCTCTCCAAACGCAGCATTGATATTGCGGGCTGTTTCTGCCGCGTTAGTTCCGCGTCGGAACTCGTATTCAAAAATCACTCGAATTTTCGCAGTATCCATCTTTCTTGTCTAAATTGAATAACAAAAACAATTGAAAGTCGATATTCAAATGTTTCAAATTAAAAAAAAAATCACAGAAACCATTTGAAAAAAGTTTTATTCGAAAACCTCAAACCATGAAGATTCTATGAAAATTCAAAGAACCTATTGCAATAAAACGGCAATTTCATACTTTAACCCGTAATAATAAAATCGTATTTGATTTTAATAATGAACAAAATGATACCGCTACAAAATAGTCACTTATTTTGTAATAGTCTAAATAAACACCTCGAATTCGTCGTCGTTCAGCTATTAACCACTAGAGGGCTGCACGTTGATTCCAATATAACATCAAACATAACTCGGAATAATAGGTAGTTGTGGTACTGAACTTTCAACGATATGCTAACAGGGCAAAGTTTAAATTATATTAACAGTCCAGAATTTGATATTTCTTCTTAAATTTGAAACTACGATCAAACATTATTAAGATTTCATAGTGTTTCAAATCTGTAAATGTGTGAGTTTTTGCGAAAACAGTTCTATAGTATATAGTAAAACTGCCTCTGCGGCGGAACAGTTACCATGCCATACTGCCACGCAGAGATCCCAGGTTCGATTCCCGGACCGGGAGAAATATTTGTATGGCCTACATTTATTTCTCTCGTGAATTTGGGTGTAATATGTGGTTGTTTTTGTTATGTGTCCATGGCACCCGCGACACAGGGTTTCCCTAGTGCGGGGCTATGTTGAGTGTGTGCGTTATTATTATTATTATTCCAATAAATACGATAAATAGCAAAAAGTAAATAATGTAAAAAAATTATTGTAATCGAGGCTAAAGACACTTTTGTTTTTACTTTTCCGTGGTCATAACATATTAAAACACCAGTGTTCCCTTGACTATATTGTCAACAATCTATGGAGGTTCATGCTTATAACGCGTAACCGTAGACAATGACAGAATCCCAAATTTTTTTACTTCAATAAGAGAATCGTCCTAGCGTTATTCTTTTTTTTATCAATGATTGAAATATAAAACCGCTTTGGTTTTATATATTCGACTCGATTTTGGACCATAAATATCTGAGCCCATAACGATGCCTGTAAGCTTGGGGCAATGAGCTGAGAAACGTATCGCGAATCGACCACGTACGCGAAATCGCAGAACTTTGAATAGGTTTAGAACTTTGGAGCAACCTTGGCTTTTTAGGGTTACAAAAATAAAATCTAAAGACATGTATTGTGTTGAATTAAAATATATACAATAACCACAAAGACATTATCATATAAAATCTTGACAAAAATGATACACAAATTTTTTGTCGACATTTTTTTTCTCCTAGACTCAAATTTGTCTAAGGCTAAAGATGCAAAGTATTTATCTCCTTTCTAAATTACCTACATACAGAAATGTCTAAAGTTACATAAATATGTCTAGGAAATACTTAACGGGCCTGATGTCGCCATTATCTCGCTTGTAATACAAAAGGATTGTATTATTATATGTCTCGCCATGTTGAATAACTTAACAACATCAAGAAAGTATGTAAGAATCCCGCACTTGCTCCTCTCCGTCGTGTCCTACTCCCTTTATCGATCTTTACCCCCTCTAAATAGTTTCATCGCGGCCTATGAAAAATGTAATCGCGTCGATCATCCGACCCGAAGGACCATAAAAGAATAATAGTAGCCATCGCACGCCGCCTCATTTCATATTCTATCTGCTTTATCAAAGTTATACCCGATTTGTCCAAATGTCATCACTACGGCCATCCGTCAAATCGTGAGTCCTGACGGGTAATGTGGGACAAAGGATTTTGGGGATCGTTTTGTCATGGTTAGCTGTAACTGAGATAGAAAGTCAATAGTTCATGTGTCACACCTTTTAACTGGCGGGAAGTGCCCTACCATAGTCAAGCAAGCACGAACTTCTATTTTACGAAACCTATCACACTAGTGCACTTTCCGGTCCTCCACACCTTAGACCAGTTTATTAAGCTTGAAATTAGTGAAACCATGACTTATGGAAGCGCTG